CTGTTCTGTTAAATTTTGCTATTCTGACTGGGGTGAGATGATATCTCATCGTTGTTTTGATTTGAATCTCGGAGGCATCAATGTTTAGAAGGCCGAGGAACTTCACGCTCATTGCCAACGAATCAGTTCACAACTGACAATGGGCAATTCCATGTACGACAGAGCAAACATTGTGTGGCCCTGTGTTGTTACCGTTATTGTAAACAATGTGTATTTTTGAATGCTTTCCTGCCGAATGGCCTCACCTTCCAGCTCTGTATTGAACAAAGCTCCTCTATGACATATAGGGTTTTCATGGATTGATATCAGAAGTTGATGACATGTTAATGTCTCTCAGTCCAGAAACTTGGACCATGGTGACCACTCGCAGTGAGGAGTAGAACCAAGGACACCAAACAATTTGCATAGAAATTGAATGTGTTGAATGGGAACTTAAACCACTGTGTAAGCCTTCACCAAAATCATATGCGGCAATGTAAACAACATCCTCAAAATAAAAAACCCCGTGTACCCCAACAGAGTACCGCCAGAAGCAGTGCTACAAGATGAATCCCACAGGTTGGAAGGTGGTCAAAGCACAGAGTGGCCACTCTGAGTGACGCTGCCTGAAATATTGGGGGCATAGCTTCTAGAATTATGGGCACATGTAAGCTGCCACAGCATGACGGACTGACAGACAAGGATGGCCTTTTCTGATACAGGTAGGGAAACTGAGGCCCAGAGAAGGGAAGTGATTTTCCTGCTTAACAAATCTGTGTTAGGAAAGTTCTGGAACTGGGTCTCCTGCTGCTCAGGGTTACCCCACCCCCTAACCCCCATGCTCTGCTCCTCCACGCTGCTCCCTGTCCTCAAGACAGCTGCAGACTTCCTGGGAGCTGTGGGGGGTGGCTGCCCTCTTCATGCTCCTGCATTCCAGCCATCGTCTTTTATACAGTCCGTCCCCTGGTAAGTTCTGCAAATGAAATCCAGAAAGGTAAACGTGTGGTTAGGCCAGAGGAATCCACTGTAGGGTCTCTGTTGTTGTTGTGTGCTCTTGAGTCAGAATTAACTCATAGCTGACCCTCCAGCGGGTTTTCAAAGGCAGTAAACTCTACAGGAGGAAACTGAGCCTCCTTTTCCACAGACCGGCTGGTGGATTAGAATTCTGTTCCTTTGGGATTACAGGCAGCTTCTTACCACTAGGCCACCAGAGCTCCCTGTGTGGACCTCTAGGGCCTCATTCTCTAGCACTACTTTGGATGACATTCTGTTGGGATCCATGGAGTTTGATTTTTTTTTAATGTATTTTTAAAAAATGTTATTAATTTCAGTGAACATTTACAGAGATTTTGGATTTCCATTCATTCATTGTTACACTTTTCTCCCTGCCCCCCACACCCTCAGTTTGCTCTTCTTTTTGAAAAGTAAAAGAAAAATTCTTTCATTGGTACACAATCCCCACCGTACCCCCACAACCTTACCCCAATTATACGCCACTTTGCAGCCTTCGTTTCAGACTCTTTTGATGGAGTTTTGTTTTTGAGAGTAATTCTTTGAATAACACCAACGACTATGTTTTCAGCATGGAGTTTTGTTTTTGAGAGTAATTCTTTGAATAACACCAATGACTATGTTTTCAGTAAAGGCATCCACAGCTGCTTATGTTCTCATTCACCAGTTTTTGTACAAATGTTTGATGACATTGGTTCCGTTCTTTACAATTCATGAACATTCTCATCACTTCTGTTCCAATTGCTCTGTTTCCATTAATCTAGTTTCCCTGACACCTTACACTCTCATCTTTGTTAGAAAAGAATTGTTGATTGGTCTCATGTAGGTACTGGGATGGGGGGCTGTTTTTCTTTTTAAGAAAAGCACATTACTCAGAGATATTATTCTTTATTTTTGAGCCAAACTCTTATTTGGCCGAGAGATGACCTCAGAGGTGAGTTTGATTCAAGGCTTAAAGAGCATGTGAGGCAATATCCTTGGAGAGTTCTCTAGTCGTGACTAGTCCAGGGGTCTGACAGGATCCGTAGGGTTTTAATTGTTTCAATTTTGGAACTAGATCACCAGGCCTTCTTGAGAAGCTTCAAGTAGGTGAGGGAGGGACTGTCCAATTTCATCTTCCTAAAGGGCAGAACCAGGGCCAAGTGGGAGCTACGTGCAGTCTTTGGAGCCTGAGAAGCCTGGATCCTTCGCATGTCGACTGGCTGGTCCTGACAAGCCACTTAGCCTGTCTGAACATCAGTGTTCTCAGCAGTGAGAGGGGCAGGCGGAAATAATCTGCCATCTCTGTGGCTAAAAGCAGACATTCGGCCAGATAGGAGGTATTACTAGGTCTCATGAAAGAGTTTTTCTTTTTCTTTTAAAGGAGAAGAGTTATTTGGGGGAGGGGAAAATGGTGGGCAGGGAAGAAAGTGCAACAATGAATGACTGGAAACCCTAAGTTTGTAAACTTTTTTTTTTTAGCATTAATTAAAAAATTTATAAAAAACCATAGCTGACAAACTGGTAGGGGGAAAAAAGACAAAGTAATAATTATATTTGGAGATTTTAATACTCTCCTTTGTAATAACTATAAAAAAGTTAACTAAAGAAATCTATTAAAAAGAAAAAGAAAGCACTTTGTATCAAAGAGAGCAAATGGTATGTGATACCTTGTAAAGAAGTGAGCTTCTTGACACTAGGAGCATTCAAGAAGAAACTGGAAGACCAGCAATCAGAGAATACTGAGTGAGGAATTGGACAATTAAGAAATTTCATATCTCCCCCAATTACGTGATTCTGTGCTGTGTCCTGGGATAAAGTCAAATAGTCTGTTCTTCAGACATGCTTTCTCCTGCCTCAGTCTTTAAATGCACCATTTCCTCTGCCTAGAATGTCCTTTGCTCAACTTTCTTCCCACTCTCCTTCGTGTAATCCTTCTTTTAAGAATCATTTTCTCAGGAAAGCATTCCTTGACCTGCCTGCATTGGGGGGGGGGGAGGGCTGAATCGCTAACTACAGCACAGTGAACTAACTAATTAACCCACTAACACACACACACACACACACACACACACACACACACACACACACACGGTCTCTGGCTCTCAATTCTAGCCTATTTTCACCAGATTTGGTTAGCTGCTAGCATGACCAAGTGAAATGCTTAGAGAGCTGCTTTTGTATACTTCTGTATATTAGAGCCAAAGAGTCCATCAGCACCCAGTTCCAAGTCATAACCACACTTTTTCTTACATGTGCCAAACCCCATGCAACTTGCTGAAGGCCACACATTACTGAGGAGGAGACATCCCAGTGCCCTCCCCCAAGGAACTCAAGCTGCAGGGAGAGGTCAACAATCCTAATGCAAGTTGGGTAAATGGGGAGGCTATGAAGGGTCAGGGCTCCATTCTATTTCCGATGGGTTTTCATTTTCTCATGATTTTTCTCACAGAGCTTCTGCAGAAGTACAAGATGCCTTCATGACATACACGGTGTATGATGATATCATCACCATTAAGCTCATCCAAGAGGCCTGCAAGGTGCTGGGTAAGTGTGAAAAGGGCTTATGTTCTCAGTCCTTCCCCTTCCCCTTGGGCTTTAGACAGCAGCGTAATACACACCACGCTGAGTATCACATTCTGCACCACCACCATCACAGATGGCCTTGACCTTGACAGGTGGAGTAGCATTTCAGAATGAGCCACCACTGTGATTATTTGGGAAGGATTAAACATGGAGAGTTCTCTAATGCCTCTCCGGGTCGTGCTTATCTGGATATGGACATGGGGTGCATTGCAGGGTGTTGAGACTCTTCTTCCCCATCTGTCCAGACTTTAAAACACCACTTAATTTCAGGTGCTTGAGGATCTACTCCAATTCATCACAGTCCCATGTGGGTCAGAGTAGAACACGCTCCACAGGGTTTCAGCGGCTAACATTTTTGGAAATAGACTATCAGGCGTTTCTTCTTCTCCACCCTTCTCTTTTATTTATTCATTGTTGCTCAGTTTCTCCCCTCTTCCCTCCATCTCCTTCTCCTCCTCCTCCTCCCACCCCCAGCCTACCCTGCAATGCACCCCTTGTTCCAGATTATTCCCATATGCATAATGAATAATCATATATTTCTTTTGGGTAGCTCTTCCCCTCATCTATTCATTATCTATCCACTCTTTCCCCATTCTATCCCCAACACCCCCCATGTCTGTCCTATTTTATAACAGTGGTGTTATGCAGTATTTATCCTTTTGTGACGGAGATAGTTCTCTCAGCATAATGTAATAAAGGGTCTCCCATGTTGGGTTATATTTTACTCTTTCATTATTTTTCAATGCTGCATAGTATTTCATTGTATGGGTGTACCATAGTTTTCCCTATCCATTGTTGATTTATGGGCACTCGGATTGCTTCCATCTTTTTGCTGTTGTGAATAATAACAATAAACATGGGTGTGCATATATCTGTTTGAATTGTGGCTCTGGTTTCTTTAGGGAATATGTCCAGTAGTGGAATTTCTGGGTCAAATGGTATTTCTATTTCCAACTTTCTGAGAAAGTGCCAGATCTCCTTCCGTAGTGGTTGTCCCACAGGCCTTTCTTCTGAGGATCTTTCTCTGAGTAGACCCAAGCCACCAACCTTTTGGTTAGTAGTTGAGTGTGTTAACCGTTGGCACTACTCAGGGACTCCTAACATGCTGTTTTATGGTTGCAGTCATGCCAGTTATGACTCATTGCAGTCCCTTGAGGAGGCCCCGTGCGAATGGCCCACTGTAACACACAAGGACTCTTGGGATTGCACGTATCCCAGTGACATAACCACCAGGGTGATTTATTCTATGACTTTGTTTACTCCCGAAGTCCTGAGGGGAAGAAGGACAAGGCAAAGAGAATTTCAGTTCCGTCTCTTTCTAGTTTGTTGTTGAGTTTGAGTCATAGTAACTCTGTAAACAACAGATCTGAACCCTGTCCTAGCCTGTGCCATCTTCACAATCCGCTCAAGTACTTGAGCCCAGTGCAGCTGTCCCTGTGTCAGCCCATCACGTTGAAGATCTTCTTCTCTTTCATTGACCCTCCACGTTTCATAATATAATGTCCTTTTCCAAGGAATAACCTTCCCTAGCAACAAGCCCAAAGTATGAGAGGTGAAGCTTTGCAATCATTGCCTCCAAAGAGCACTCTGGCTGTACCTTCTCCAAGACATACCTGCTCATTCATTTGGCAATCCTTGGAATACTTGGTACTCTTCTCCAACACAAGTTTAGAGATATCAATTCCTCTTCTTTGTCCAGCACTCAGATGCATAGCAAATGATTGAAAAGACCATGGCCTGAATCAGATGCATCTTAGTCTTCAAACTGACATCATTGCTCCTCAATTATTGGGCGAGATCCCTCACTGCAGACATTTCCAGTGCAATACATCTCTTGATCTCCTCACTACTGGTGCCAAGGATGTTGATTATGGATCCATGTAAGATGAAGCTGTTGACAGTTTCAATCTTTTCTCCATCTATCAGGATGTTGTCTATTGGGTCCAGTGCAAAGAAATTTTGTTTTCTTGATGTTGAGGTGCAAGCACTTCAAGCCCTCCTCACTTTTAGCAAACAAGGTTGTACCATCTGTATAACATATGTTATTGATGCATCTTTCTCCAAACTTGATGCCACATTCTTCTTCATAGAATTCAGCTTCTTGAAAGATTTACTCAGCATAGGGATTGAATAGACTGACACACACCTTTCTTCATTTTCAGTTATGTAGTGTTCCCTTGCTCTGTTCACATAACAGTCTCTTGATGTAGGTATAGATTTTACATGAGCACAATTAAGTGATCTAGGATTCTCATTCTTCTCAATATTAGCCACAATTTGTTATGACATGCACAACTGAGTGTGTTAATGGGCTTTACTTTCTAACAATTATTTCAGTGGTTATTGATGCAATACTGAAGGGTCTTCAGGACAAAAAGAATTAAATTATGCAGGAAGTGTCAAAAGGAGATAAAAGGGATACAGAGTCACTGCTTGGAATATACCCCAAGGAAATGAGAACTAAAGCTCAAACGAAACTTGTACACCAATGTTCATAGTAGCATTATTCACTATTGCAAGAAAATAGAAACATACAAGATATCCAACCACAAATGAATGGATTGAGAAGTTATGGTACATTCATAAAATGCAATATTATGCAGCACGCAGAAACAATGATTTTGTAAATTACTACCTAACATGGGAGGAACTGGGGAACATTATACTGAGTGAACTAACTCAGTCCCACAAGGATAAATACTGTATAAAACCATTATTGTAGAGGATCCAAGGGAGGGGAGGTTGGAAGCAGAGGGGTGAGGATGGGTGAGGGTGGGGAGGTAACCATAGGGTTGCACAATTCGATAGGTGGGAGAGTGAAGAAATGGGAAGGATCTTTTGTGAAAAACAATGTAGTCAAATTTTGTAAGTAAATCAGTATAAAATTTAGAAAAATGCATGAGACCTCCCCCCCAACCATAAAATTGGTTGACACAAAGCCATTTCAGGAGGAATAATATAAAGAATTGACGGTACTGAAATACTGGATTGGCAAAAAACAAAGCTCCAAGATTTGGCAGAATAGCAACTGAGAAATTTCAAAAAAGGATGAAATGTTAGAAATGCTCATTTATCTATGCAAAGGAATTTGAAACACAACTGTCTGGCCAATTGACTAGAAGAAATTAGTATTATTTTGCCTATTCCAAAAGAAAGGTGATCCAATAGATTACAGAAATTCTTGAACAATCCCATTAATCTCACATTCAAGTAAATCTTGGCGAATAGAATTTTTTTTAAAATGGCTGGTTGCAGCGGGACATTGACAGGGACGGTCAGAAACCCAAGCTGGACTCAGAAGAGGAAGCAGAAGGAGGGACATCATCGATCGTTGGCATCACATAGATCCTGGCTGAAAACAAAGACTAGTGGAAAGATATTCACCTGTGTATTCTTGATTCTGCAAAAGCATTTGACAGCATGGACAATAAAATGTTATGGCTAAAATCTGAAGAATGAGAATTCCAGAACACTTCACTCTGCTTGTGGGGAAACTCTACACAGACCAAGAGGCAGTCAATAGAACAAGGGAATACTTTATGGTTAAAAACAGGAAGCTGTGTCTGGGTTGTACCTCTTCATTATACTTCTCCAATCTGTCTGCTGATCATATAATCCAAAAAACCTGCATATGTGATGAAGAATGTGGCAGTAAGATTGGAAGAAGACACACCGGTAACTTACCTTACGCAGGTAACACAGCCTTGCTTGCTAAAGGTGAAGATTTGAAGCACTTACTGATAAAAGTCTGAGACTGGAGCTATCCGTATGTATTGCATCTCAGACACTGAGAAACAGAAATTTACACAACAGGCCAGTAAGCAACCTCATGATAAATGGGGGAAAGATTGGAATTCTGAAGGGTTTCATTTGAGTAGGAACCCATAATCAGTATCCATGGGGACAGCAGTCAAGAAATCAAATGAAAATCAAATCTGCTGCAAATTAATAAAGTGCTTAAAAGCATATAGCACTGTTAGGAGTAAGGTCCACCTCACCCAAGCCAGGGCTTCACTCACCTCATCTGCGTGTAAGAGCTGGACACAGAAGAAGAATCAATGTGATGTTGGAGAAGAGGACTGAATATCCCATGGACTGCCAAAAAACCAAATATGTCTTAGACAAAGTGCAGCTCCTTGCAGCCCAAGATAATCAATCTTCATCACGTACTCTGGCTTTGTAGCTAGAGAGGCTATTCCTTGGAGCGAGACACCATGCTTGGGAAGGTGGAGGGTCAGCAAAAGAGAGGAAAATCCTCAACCAGATGCAATGACATAGTGACTGCTGCAATGGGCTCGAGTATCTTAGGAGATTGTGAGGACGGCACAGGACGGGACAGGGTTCAGATCTGTTGTTCTTGAGGTTGCTATGGGTCGGACTTGACTTCATGGCACCTCATAACAGTAAGATATGCGTGTGAAAGCTGTACCAATAGAGAGGAAGACTGAAGAAGAGTTGTGACATTTGAATGCTGGGTTAGTGAAGAATGTTGAATATATACCATGAACAAATCTGTTTTGGAAGAACTGTAGCCAGAGAGCTTCTTAGAGGTGAGAATGGTGAGACTCTCTTACACACTTTGGCTCTGGAAGGACGAGTCCCTGAAGAAGGACCTCATCTGCGGGGAAGTTGAGGGTCAGCAAACGAGAGGCCGGCCCTCAACAAGATGGATTTACTTAGTGACTGTAACAATAGGCCGAGCGTAGCAATAACTGTTAGGAAGGCGCGGGGCCAGGCAGTGTTTTGTTTTGTTGTACATAAGGTTGCTATGTATGAGTTGGAACCGACTCAATGGCACCCAGCAACAACAGCTTGGCCAAGTAAGATTGATAGTAATAAGATTTAACGTTTGGAGTTGGTTTGAAAACCCAATGAGATAATGCATGTCAAATTTGCTAATGTGGTGCCTGGCATACAATAAGCTCTGAGAAAACATTCTCTTTCTTCCTTTCCCCCCTCTT